CCAACAAAATGCAAGTGTGTGTCAGTGCTTCAGCCGCAGGCGACTTGCAACCTTCTCAAATCTTATTTATAAAACACATTTGAAAGTAGCGTTATTTGTGTCGCTTTCTATATACATACGTGTATGTGCATTTTTGCATCTATGTATGTATGCAGGTATGTCTGTATTTATCTTTCTTTTTGCACACATCTTTGAGTGACTAAGCTGACTAAGCGGCCAAAGCGAAATGAGACACCAAAAATAAACTTGAAAAACGAAAAAAAAACTGCAAGGCTAACTGTTGCTAATGTTAAGCCTTCACAGGCGATGACTTGGCTTAGCCATGTACACACATACATACATATATAATATTCACTTAAAAGGAAAATGACATTGACTTTGACTTGAAGGAAATATAAATTACGACGCCGTTTTGAGCCTTTTTTTTTGTTGATTTGGGTAAAAAGAAGAAAGGCGCACATGTGACGTAGCGTATATTGTACTAATAAATATCTACATGCATATGTACATACATCGTATATGCAAAATATGTTCACATAAACTATGCCTTTCAAACGGTTCATATCTTAAGACTTATGGCCGGCCCTAGACGCTTTTTCTGGGAGCTTCAAGTTCATTTTTTCTAGCAAAAATAATAAAGCTGAGTCGTTGTAAGATATTATAACGGTTATGGCTTAGTGGAATTTGTATGCGTTTTTTAAGTTGTTAGCATACGAAACGACATTAATTGAAATTAACAAATTTTGAAACTTAAAAGTAAAACTACAAGTCCGCTTATTTTCAACTTCAAAAAATTATCACATAATAATGATGACTTTAATGCTCTGAATGCATACCTGTTGGCTATTTTTTATCACCTAAATTATTACGAACTAAGTTAAATTTTCTTGTTAAAAAAATTTGGTGTTTTTTGTTACGAAAGACCTGCAAAAGAACGTAGAAAGAAGGTAGGAAGGTTAATGAATAGCATGGAAAACAATCACTCAAAGTACAAGATTCAGTGACACTTCAAAATGGAGCAGTAAATATACATATTTATTTGCCAAAGACTCTTTGGAAAATTTGCATTTGCTTTGTTCTTTGCTGAAATATTTCATATCTTGACAGCTAATACCAGTTTTGTAAGGTAAATATTAATCATGAGCCAGTGAAAATAAGCCAGTTGGGCGTTCTTTTGCAGATGTCGGATGCAAAAAATAAAATTCTATATTCAAAACAAGTTATAGCGTGTAGTGGTTTTACGGTAAGTCGTACATAAGCGCAAGCGCTTCACTGTGACTTCATAAATGTAAGGCGACAAATATTTTTTAAACTCCTTATATTTTATACTTCAAAACCAAATACCTCAAATCCACAAAGCGCAGGGGGTTTTTTTTTGAAAGAAGTGCTTCTAATTCTCTTCCATCTGCTTGTAAAGCTTTTAATACTTTATTCACAGTTGGGAATACTCAGCAGCTTGGAGGTTTCTACTGGCCACTGTGAAACTCCAATGGAAACGGTAAAAAGAAAAGACTACAAAATTACTTCAATGTTATCTCAGAAAATTTCCTGATAATTTTTCTAATTGCTGTCGCTCCTCGTCAAGCAATCTTAAGCCCGCCAAGTGTACTTTAAAAGCTCCTCATAAAAATCCATTGGAAAAACGTCAAGATGCAAAATTACAAATTTGAGGAGGAGCTCGGTCGAAAATCGTTAAAAGACCAACTTCTAAAAAGTATTGCCTCATTGAAAGCCACTCAACACACTACACCGCTATAGCGAGCAATCAGCTGAGTTGATTCTACGGAAAAAATCAAATCACTTTAGGCTTCTCTCCAGCGTCATCGTTAAGCGGTGATAACCGTTCATTGGCTTGGCGCTCTCTTGAGATAAATCTTATCAGCTATGTTAGTAGATTTCGGCTGGTGGAGTTCAAAAAGTAATCCCAATCCATATGCCTGCATGTGTATCTTTGGCTGTCGCATAGTATTCAATGTCATAGTTTTAAGGCATACATTTAGGTGCATCGCTACTCTAATAGTAAAACCGTGCAGTTTTTCATGTTCGCCAGAATGTAAGAGCTTTAGGAGTATAAAAATTTAATTGTTATTTGCCATAAAATTTATTTTTTTGTTGCCGGTCAATGATTAATCCCCAACACACCGATGATAAATATGGATACATATGCATTTAAGTATATGTTTGTACACTATATGCATATAAAATAATATATGAACGTATTTAATTTATATGCACATAAATATGTATAGCGAGATATATTTTACAACACCACCTGAGTTTGGAGACATAACCTTGATGCAAGTTTTATGGATTTTCTATGTGAATGCGGCACACACACTTACGTACTCGTACAGAGCTATTCATGCACATATACAAATGTATATACAAGTTATGTACATAACGCATGTGAGCTGATTTATGAGCTTTAAAGTTTAGTGGACACAAGTTTCTTTTCTTTTAATGCGCTCTACCTCGAACGAGAATTAATTTAAAGGAGTGCCTCTATGAAAATGTGCAATAAATAGTTGCGTAGGTGTGTACAGTTTAATATTTGAAGATGATTAAATGGAAGCTCGGAATTTTGATTGCGAGCAAGACAAGAAAGGAGTCACAAGTATAGAAATTTCTATATGAAGGTGTCTTTACACATACAAAATGCATATAACATAGATATATATAACTTATATACCAACACACATTTATAAGTTTCATATTTCCTGGCATCCAAACAGGATTCTGTCTTCAAAACGTACATAAATTTACAGCAAAGAGTTATGAGTTGGTCATTAAATATATAATAAAATACAATATAAGTGGATTATCACCCATTAGGGTTGTTGTTGTCTTCTTAAATGGCTTAAAGAACTTATGAGTGGATTACCAGGTAGACATAAACGCATAGCTTACCACATGGCGGCATTGAAATGTTCGTTAGCTCTTATTAATTTCGTGTGCTCGTATTTAATTTATGTTCGTAAATAATCGCTTCATACTGTCGTGCGGCAATCCGATTACATTGACAGAATGAGTTTGTGTGTTTAGAATTTAGTAATCCTAAACAAATCATTTGAAATTTGTAATTTTCAGCTGATATTCTTCCCTTGTATTGGGATCTTTCGGATAAATTTTTATAATATATATATATATATATATGTATTTTCAAAGTCAAGTGCAAATTTGAACTGGTAATAAAAACAGATTTTAAGTTTTATAAAATTATTAATTTAAGCTGACCTTCGCAACAAAGCAAACAGTTGATTGAGTGCTTTATGGAGTTTCAATTATGTAAGATTAAAAAAAAAAAAAAAATAAATAAAAGTATATAAAAATATATAGTAAACTGTAAAAAATTCAGTTGTCTCCAGACCAATTGACCTCAATACGAGAAATCTGCTGAGAAATGACATCTGCATATTGCCAATCAGACTGACAAAAGCAATAATTGCAAAAAAAGAAATATGTTGGCAATTTCTTCCCATGTACATATATATACATATATATATATATAGTATATGGCAAGCATCCGAATAAGTTTCTGTATGTGCTTATTTTCAGCAAGGGCTTTAATATTTTATATTGCTCTTGGTAAATATTGACATGGAACTCAAATGTATTATATGAACCAAATATTATTTCAAATGCCAGTATGAAAGGCGTGCATTGTATATGCATACAAAGCCATTATCCAGCAGAAGCCGAGTAAGTAAATAAACATTTCAAAGAGTGCTGTTGATATACATTTTCAGAATAGAAGTATTATCTTGCTTTTGTTTTATGCCGAATTTCATTCATAAATGTCTTAAATATGTAAATTCAACAAATATTTTATTTCATTTGCAAATATTTTATAGTGATTGTTATTTATTGCATTTGGTCTATCGAAGACTTCCTATTTGTCCATTTAGTTGTTGTATTTATGAAAAAATTGCTGACATCTGTTGATTTAATAACTAAAAATATTTATTTTACCTTTGTACATAAGTGAGTATTTTTCAGCTTGAAATGTGCAAGCGAGATAATTTTTGAGGCAAAAAAAAAAAAAAAAAAAAAACAAGAAAAAAAATTAAAATATTGAATATCGTTTACAGCTTTCTGTGAATTATTCATTTAAAAATACTTTGAAAGTGGAAAGCTAATATATATGCCCCGTTTGTTTGTATCTATGCCGTCAATAGACTCCGAATTTCTCCGAATTTCTCCGAATTTTTTATGTAATTTTTCAATTTAGCATTGTTGAAATCTGTAGAGAGTAGCTGTTGATGAAAGTCGTTAAGAGAACCTCGGACTGAACTATTCAAAAGTTCCACGAATTCCACTAGTAATCGATCCGTATAAGACATCGTTGCGCCAAATTGATATACTGCGATTACAAGGGCTTTTAGAAGAACCTTTTTTATTTAAATTATTTTTCTACAATTTTTAATGTTGGTCGGAGCGGGACCCGAACCCAACGCTCTCCGCATAGTAATATGCTTTGCTCCCAACACGGCTGTTAGTGTCACCCACACAAAACTCGATTTTGGAATCTCCACAGAGCATGACAACTTCTTTTACGATCCTAAGTTTCCTGTGCCAAAAAGTAAAATCTTAAACTGAAAATATACGTTTAAGCGAAAGCGCCAGAAAAACACCAGAAAAAGTTATTTTAATTAAAAAAAATATTTTTGCATGGGAAAAAAGTAAACCATTTCAATGAAAAGCTCAGGCAAAGTGAGGAGATTTCTAAAAACTTTAACTAAATAAAGCAGAGAATAAATTTTTAAAATCATATAGCTAAGTTTAAGTAGTTTTTAAAAAAGAAACAATTATTTTCCAATAATGAATTAAACCAGGACCAAGAATATAGACAGTAAGTTTTGTATGTACAAAGTTATCTTTTCAAATGCTGATTAAATAGAAAATCAGATCTCTAAAAATTTAAAATGCTCAATTTCGAAAATTCATGAAAATATACGCGCTCCTCACAAAAATTAATTTGTAGAAGAACTTGGGCGCTGGAATTGTATTTTTTAATTATTTCGTTTCAAGTATACAATTTGTTCTGATTAGTAAAAAGCCATAACTCAAAAAATTTTCTCGATCGAAAATTTAATAGCAAATTTTGGGCTTTGTGAGCTTGTTCAAAAACACTGCGGTAAAACATTTCAAATGCCATTAGGGAAATAAATTTAGTAATTTATTTATTCACCTTTTGTAAATTAGTTGAAACAAAACTTTTTCAAGTGACTTTTAATTTGGTTTTTAAGCAATATGAATTTCCCATTGGATTCACAGCCATTCATTGCTTTAAAATGAGCATTAATTTTATCTTCTCTCCCACTTTTTTCTACAACAATAAAGAATAACAATATAATAGTTACACACACAAACACACATACACATACATACATATAACAATGAATACGAAAAGCTATGCAATAGAGCGCTTTAAGTCTAAGTCATTTCATGAAATCATAAAAATGGCATTTGAAATGAGAAACCATTGCTAGTGATGCAGAAGAAGGAGCGAAGCAGCAACTGCCTGCGCACATAAATATACGTAACATGTGTTCACCGTTAACTGAGAGATTTCTTTTGATTTGGCTGTTGTTATTTTTGTGATTTTATTATCACACTTCCCGTCTCTTTCCGAATGTTTAACGCACAAAAGCAAATAACCAAATCTATCGCCGGTAATGGTACATGCCATAACCGACTGGTGTGCTGCCCATGGCACGTTCAGTTGCCTTCTCAATGCTCGCATGAACGCACCGATAACAGCACACATAGGCCAAACATCACTTGAATAGAATGCGACGAAATGCGCGCCGAAAGTCCTTATTGAAGATGGTGTAAATGGCCGGATTCAGGGCGGAGTTCATGTAGCCCAGCCAGAAGGCGACCGCGAACGCAAAGTCCGGTATGTTGCAGGAGCTGCCGCAGACCGGCACGAGGATGTAGAGGAAGAAGAAGGGCAGCCAGCAGGCAATGAAACTGCCCATGATGAGACCCAGTATGAGCGTTGCGCGTTTCTCTTTCTTACGCGCAATACGTCGTTTCTCCTTTTCGGGATCGCGCGGTTTCGGCTGTTTCGGTATGGCCGGCTCCAGTTCGGCTTTTGCAACTTCTGAGGGTTGTACCGGTTTTGACGACACTGCGGCTGCAGCCGTCGCAGCAGCTTTCGATTCATTGCGTCGTTCTGCATTTGCGGCTTTTCGCCTGAAGATGGGCTGGCACAGTCTAAATTTTAATGGTTTCACCACCGCACAGCGACTTACCACACCCGAATCCGAGCTGGATGGATCAAATTCGCTGACCATGTCGGTATCAATGCCTACCGAGAGCGCGCGGCACCTATTAACTATGGGCGAGACGCGCAGCTCGTTTGGCGATGCCCCCGGCCCGGCCGTCGTCAAGCCACCACTTGCATTTTGTGTGATTAGCGTTGCGTCTGTTGTGCTGTTGTTTGTGTTTGATATCGATACCGTTGTCGGCAACGTACCATCTATGGGCGTGACATTGTCATTGTTGTTATTGTTATTGGAAGTGTTTGAGTTGGCTGTCGCTGTTGCAGCTGTCGCCGCGGCCATTGAGGGTGGCACAGGCACATTGAGTGCTCCCCGTCCCGTCGCTATCGTACTAACCTTCAGCGTTTCCTTATCTGCCGTCGACAGCGCACAGTTGGGCGAACCGGGTGTGAGCATACTCAGCGGGGACGGTACATTTGAATTGCCATTGGGGTAGACGAGTGGATGCGGCTCCATGTCGGCTGCCTCGGATGTGGAGATATCGGACGCTAGATCGCACGTCACTGTCGGTATTTGCATGGGCAGCGAAGCGCTGTTCGGTGGTGTTTCGATGGTGGCTATCTGCGCTTGCTGGTTCATTTGCAACGCGCTCACAGCACTTGACGATGGCATGGGTATGGTACCCTTCTTGCCGATGGTGGAGAAACTGGTAACCTGCGGGTAGTAAGAGAGGAAAAAAATGCGGTTAGAAAAGAATTTAAGAAATGTCTTTCAAATTTCAGTTAAATAATTAATATACTAAATATTACAACAGGGTGGGGCATCCTTATATAATAAGTAATTTAGAAAATTCTGGCTTTCCGTATGAAGTTCTTGCACTAGGGAAAGCAAAGTCTTCGTTGGTGTTATGAGATTAGCGGCCAGTTCGTTTGTATGCGCTCTACATGTGCTTCGATGCCGGCTTCATTACTATTTCATAAGTCACATAGAAAAAACGTGGACTTAGACTTAGCACCTACAGTTAATTCTAAGCGGGTTCCTCGCGGGCAATGAATTTTTATGAGATTTTATTTCAAGTCAGAAACACATTCGGAGGGATTGCCGAGGAGCGACCGAAATAAGAAAAATTATTTTTGAATGTTGGTCACACCGGACCAATGTACGAGCCTTCAGAATGGCACAATGCAATGCTAACTCCTTGGCTTCGCGGCCTTTTTTAAATAGAAAAGTGGATTCTGAAACTCGTGTTGGTTAAATTAGCCCGAGAAGGTAAATAACATGTTAAAATGGGTAATGTGAATAGCTAGCTTAGGTAACGGTAGCTTACTATCGTTTGCTTATTTTATTTTAGAAAGCTAAATCATTCGGGCTTCCGAAAATGTGGAAAAGAATTTAGAATATCTAAATAATTATGAGGTATTTTATTATTATTTTTTATTTGTTATATATCTCATTTGATATACTATATCTTTGATATTTTAAATCCATTCGAAAACATTTCTAAAACCCATGGAAAAAGGTGTATTCAGCCCAAAATGGTTTTTTGTTTGGTATTGCTATCCAATGATACCTTGTATATGAGAGCATAAATGTGCTTATCGGTAATAACTGTGATGCAAGCAAATAAACATAAATTCAAGGCAGCTGCTGTGACAACAGTCCTCTCAATCCCCACATCATGAGTGGGCTCCCATGAGAAATCACATTTCAATATTCATCGGAATCATTCAACTCACTTTCGTACAAATAAACAGCTCTTAATTCGGGCAACAACCACATACGCACAGGTGTATGAATGACACTACCTAAATAGGTAACATTAGTCGTGATGAAAGCCAAACATGCACTGCATGCCCAAATGAGCAGATTGTACTTAAAAAGCGATTCATTTCTGAATTTTCATTTTCTATTACCATAATTTCTTTTTGTTTTTGCAATTTTATATATTTTTTCTATTTGTAAACTCTCATTTTCACTGAAACCTACACATATCTGTATGGAGGGAATATATGGCATGCATATGACATTTTTAGGCGGGGTTAGGGAGGGCCTAAAACCGCGTAATGTTTTTTTGGCCGAATTTCTCTTTTTGGTTCTTCTGTTAAGATTCTGTCTAGGCGCTGGGTGATTTTCAGCTGTCAATTTATGTAAGAAATTTTAGTAACAAGTGATCTTCCTTGATTGCATTGTGAATCCAAAAACTTTTCCCCAGCGGCGAAAGCTTTGCGCAGAAATTGGAGAAGTCGTGTCTGACACCGGACACCGGACCTGGGTGTCTCAGCACAGATACAACATATGAAAATGTTGAAAAATTGAAAAAAAAAAATTGTTGGGGAACACCCTCAAATTATTATGAGGAATCTTGTTGGGACATCTTGATGTCAGTAATTAAGCTGGATAATGTGACAAAGTGACAAGCCAAAGTCCAATTGTTTCCGTCGAAAAGTCTTGCAGAGCCTTTATCGCAATGCGCATTAGCTCCGTTAGCCATCATAGTATTGCTTTCTGGCGTCTCCAGATATTATGTTATGGTGCGTCGGTAGATCTTACCACAAGACCGTACGGTAATCAATAGTTTTACTTTGTTATTGTAAACCATTGCGATAAGTAACGCAGGAGTTGTAAAGAATGTTTTTTTTGGATGTATGACTTTTCTCGAAGCTGGTCTTTCGACAACTGTTACTTCATTTATACTCCATCTGGTTTAAATTTTTTAAGATAATGATGGTTCGGCTTCCAAACTCGGCTGTCATGGTTACCTACGCAAGCGTGGATCGGTTCCACACCTCGTTCACAGTGCACAACGGAGAGGCTATCACTGTCGTGGAGCAGAATACCGAAGAATAGCCGAACAAGGAGTCGAGCGTAAAGCTTGGAGTTGTGCACATTCACTATGGAGCCACGATTACTGACATTTTCGTGTCTAATTTGGATGATGTTGGTGTGGGCGATATTTGGTTCCAACAAGATGATGTTGCATGCTAATCAACCAACAAAGCAAACATAATTTTTTAAGGGAATTTTCTTTTCAAATTCGCTTTCTTAAACTTTTTATTTTCTACTAACGGTAGTCGCTAGCAAATTGTTCTCACATAAGTACATATAATATATGTTAATAAATCCCCACTAATTCTCAGACGCTGACGCCGCTGCCCAATGATGCCGCGAAATAATACTCTGCGGTAACAAATAGAAAAAAACATATATTTTATACTGATTTTATGCTTCGTCTCCTGTAAATTCATTAATAATCTGCGCGAAGTGAATACAACAATAACCACTAAGCATATGAGGTTTTGTTAGCCCGCAACAAACCTAATGGGAATAGCGAAAATTGGTAAAAAGATGAAGTAAGTAAATAAGAAAAACCATAAAAGGAAAAAAAATAATATTGAAATAATACAAGAACCGTTACAGATGTATCGAATTGGAAAATTTTCAATTACAAAACTTGGGTGTGCATGAACGTTGCTGTTGTATTTGCTATATTTGATATATTAGAATGTGTGGCGGCTCAACTGTCAGCGTTATTTGAATATGAATGCGTGCGCTGAGTGGCACGTTCACCATTTTTCATTATTAATTTTTTTCGTAACGTTAAAACCAACTTGAGGGTAGAAGAAGAAAGAGAGGATGGTAATGAACCAAGTTTACCGCACACATAACGGGGGGGAAAAAATTAACAAACGAGCGTTCGGCTTTCATGTCAGCGTTAAGAGTAATTCGACTCCATTAAACCCATTTATAACTTGTTGACATTTATGTTCTTAGCATTTGTTGCTTTTGGAAAAGTAAGCAAAAAGTCGCTTGGAAATGGTAGCTTTTTGCGCCTCATTTCGTACTTAAATCAACCGAAAATACTGGACCGTTAATTAATATGCTTTTAAATACGAGTTCGTTACCATTTTCAAATGCCATTTTGGCTGAAATTCGATTTGGCAAATTGAGTTGAAGTACTTTAGTAAAAAACGGTACTTAATTCCACTTAACCAGTTGCCCATAATCTCTTTTAGAATACTCATCTCTCTCTCTCTTTTTTTCTCTATTTCTCTCTTGCTCTGTTTCTCTCTTTCGTTTAAGTAGTTTCTAATCTGGTTCGAGGCGGGGATTAGCGCAATCAATTTACTTACTTCTTCACCTCGCTTACTACGTGCGCTTGCAGACATACAGACAAGCTCAGCAGCCGTTAGCAGAACTTAAGCGTGTAATAACTCATTTGTGATGCATTTTAATTGCGTTAATTAGTGAGGATAAATTGTTTGGTAAATTTGTTTTCTCTTTTACAAATTGGTATGCCATTAATGTGATGACATTTTTGAGCATTTGAGTGTTTTTAACTAGAAAGGTTATTCGTCCTTTTTTTAATAATTCAAATGTTCATTTGCACGAATTCGAATGAAACAATTTTGGCTCGGAATCAGTTGTTATTCATAATAAAAAAAGGCATTTGAAATTAGTAACAGTTAAGGAAGTGTAATAAATTGCTGATTTTGTTAAAAATAAATAAATTAATAGTAATATTTATTTATAATCTATAGTAAATTCTCTCTAGTTTATGTGCGACAAGAGCATGCAGTAGAAATACCGAGCTATGCACGAAGTAATTTGTGTAAATATATTTTCAAAATTACTGCTGATGATGACAACAACATGGAGAAAATCGAAACTAACCGGCCTAGGACAGCTCGAGAGTTATAACTTAACGCTTACTTCCAATTAAAATAGCTTCGTTCTGGTATCCATGGGCAATCGCAAAAATGTAAGTGACACTTACCTGAGTCATAAACAATATCGATTCCTGCACATAATCAAAAGTAGTGAAGACCAGCCTGATAGAATATTCATATCCAACCTCTCTAGAATGCATAAGAAGCGTTAGAGCAAAGTGAGTAGCAGAAGATCACACTTTCTATTCGCTTATTTCTGCACCTGCCTCAGCTCCTACTACTACTGTAGCCAAGAATAATTTGCTAGTTATAGTACCGGAACCATTTCTTCCTCCTTCGACCTCCATCACAACTTGATTGAATGGAAAAGCGTTAGTTACACGAATTCGAAAAAGAATTCTCTACTCGAAAGACAGAACTGCAAGTGAGCTCATTTCCTATATATTCTACTTATCACGCCCAATCAGTTCGGATAGTTGGAGGTTTAATTTTTCCTTCGATGTTTTGACTGATTAGGTTAGACTTACTCTTAAATACACCATTTCATTCGAGCCCCTTAGATCGAGCTCCAAATTCCGTAGGAGGATTATACGAGTACATCGTGTGTAGTGAGATAAGAATAAATATATACTGTATTCAGCTATCCTTCCAGGTCAAGGAAAATGCGCTGAACTGGCCAAGCGCAATGACGTGACGAAGTGACACCAGCTCGCCATAATTAATTAACCAAGTTCAACCTGGAACTGATGCCATATTCAACCCATAGTCTTCTCTTCACATAGAGTAGAAGTCCGACCTTAGTTATTTCCATTTTACTTGCCATTTCGTTTAATAATTTCTATAACTTGTATCTAAGCTTTATAAAGAATTGGAGAGAGAGGAGAGCTGAGAGTGCATAGTAGATGTTACTCTTCCATGCATTCATCGAGCCACTTAGCTTTTAAAAGAGTTAGAGAGCGAACTAAATTGGAAAACTAGCGGTGGCTCATTCTCTGGGCTCCGTTGGCTGTAGGAGATGTGAGATGACCATTCCGTTTTGCCTTTAAGAATTGGTTGAGTGTCATTGCTCTTTAAAAATGGTAGAGAGAGAGAGAGAAAAAGAGAGATTGCTCCATGTGGTTTTGTTCGGTTTACAACATATAAGAACTGCCGTGTTTAAGTCGCTTGTGGTGTTGGTAAACGTCGCGGCAACTTGAACCTTATCGCCTCATTGTCCACTTGATAATTTCACTTATTCATATCAGCATACACACAGTACATCAAATGGCAGTAAGCAAAAACTTATGCCTAAAATCATGCGATTGATATTGAGCTGCTCGCTTCAACAATTTGTATTATCAGAGTTTAATAAAACAAGTCAAATATTTTTTTTTGCTTTGGAGATCGCATGAAATTTGCGAAAAATTTAATTTCTTTTAGTCTCTTATATAATAGTAATTTTTTAGAAAAAACTCACCTGTTCGTTGTTCTGTTTTCGCGGGTGTTTTTTGATGCCTCGCCTCGCTCTCGCCTTGGCAGCGAAATAAATTCGTATATAAACAAACACCATTATGCAACTGGGTACGTAGAAGGAGCCCAATGCGGAGTATATGACATAGCCGACATCTTCGCTAAGCTGAAATGGAATAAAGCAAGACACATTTCCTTAATTAATTATAGCAAAGAAAAATTAATATTTTTGTGAAAAGGTATTAAGCTGATAGTAGTCAAGCTACCGACGTATATGTTATATAAGTGTTTATAAAACAATAAATACTTGCTTTGCACAAACTTCTCTAGTTTGTGATGTTTTTAAAATATTGAATAATATATTCCAATCATAGTTTTTAATAACTAAACCTTCAAATTTCAATTCGCTTTACCGGCATCACTAGTAATTTAGTGTTGGCAAAATGTTTTGCAAAACAATCATGTGAATGATCTAGCAGATTATACAACGAAGGTTCGATGCATGGGAATAAATACAAGCGAGTGTACATCTAAAAAAAAATCTTAAATTCTGTGCCATATTCCAGTGTGTGTGCATGTTTGTTTGCATGTAGATGCTTCATTGCTGTGTGATTGCCAATTAATCTCTGTTGTTGTATAATATCATTGCAAATCTGTGGTAGCAGTTGCAAATAAATTCCAATGAATTTTTAATTCCCCTGTAATTAAAGTGCATTTTATAACTGTTTAATTTGCAGTTGCAGCTTAACCGCTACCCCCGCATACTCGTCCAATGGAAATCAATATTAATTCATTTTCTGCATTTCCAATGGACGCCAATGGTTATGAAGGGATTGAAAGTATCGAAATGAAACATTAAAATATTTGACTGCTCATCAATTTATAAATTGCTTTGCACATATGTGTCTATATTCTCGTATGTGTGCGTATGAATTTAAAATGCAGTTGTGGAAAGTAAAAAAAAAATCACTCATACGACACGTGTCACCGTTTGCTGACAGTTTGATACAGGCGATTCGGAATGAAAAAATGTTTTGCGGTAATAAATATCGACAACGGAAAATGATATTGAATAGAGTACCAAAAAAATTCGACTTATATACTTATTTCTATATTTTTTGAATATGTTTCGGTTTAACGGCCGAATATTTTCAAAAAATTTTGGAGCTTTACCCTTGTTGGCCCGCTCTTCAGTCATTAGCGTGTATCTTCACTGCGATAAAATAGCGATTAACACAATTTCCTTTAATCACAAAATGATCGATTTGGTAGCGCGAATTCTGTGGTATCGGTTGGAGGCCGAAACTGCCGCCTGTTTGCTCATCCTGTCATTAAATCTGGCAAGCCCTATTTTCGCATAGCTTGAGGGTTGCTTGTGGGCAGGTCTGTTAGACACATTCCTGGCGCTCATTGAAAGCCTTACTTATCATATCAAACCTTTTACTTCGTTGTGTTAATTTCTAGGCCATACCTCATTATTCCTTATATTATTGCTATAAGCCCTTGGTAAATACTAACTAAGATTTAGAACGACGCTGGAGAACTCCTTGATGCAATTTGCTTTGGTTATTTTTTATTTTTAACGCAGCTAAAACAATTTTCATAAAAAATGGTATACTCTCTTTTAGTTTGTAACATTCCTTTAAGTGTCTTATAACTATAAATTTGCCTATGAATTATAAGTTATATGAGATTTTTCTTAAATAAATTAAGCTTAGATGTATTTGCCCTTTAGTGTGCAAAGCTTCAGGGGAAATTTGCGAATAAAAGCCTACAAATCATCAGAAGCATTGATAGCAAAATGAAAGTGGTAAAATACATACGTAGGTATGTAAATTACATATTTTATTTTATTTTCTTCGTAGTTATGACTCTTGGTATTTGATAAATGACCATCGGTCAGAGGAGACTTCAAATCTTAAGTGCACTTTATTGCTAATAAACTTTTCTTCAAATGAAATATTCTTTCTTGGAATGGAAAAATATTTACTGGACATTTATTCAACATTTTAGTTATTTGTGCATTTGGCATACTGAAATAGATGCGAGCAGAATAATTTATTTTCAATGAAAATGATTTGTTTTTCGAGTTTATCTGCAGGTGAGGAAATTTAAATATCTTTTAATTTATTGTTTCAGCTGTGCATAGTTTTCATCATAAATTCTCGTCGGCTTAATTATATTTATAAGTTGATTTATTTATAATTTTCTTATAAATATTTTATGAGTAATTTTCTGTTATGCACTCACATATATATTATATACATGGAGTTATTTACTTTAGGTTTAAATAAGCGTAAAAGACATTGCTACATTGAATACTTTTCAGTATATTTGTTTGTAATTGAAATGCGCAGAAGGAGTGCACTTAACTTGGAGGCCAATTGAGTTCAAGGAAGGTAAATGAGGGTATGCCAGTTATTAGGGTTAAATACACAGTTAGTTAGTAAAATAAACTAAAGGCAGAAACTTAAGCTTGGATTTTCTTAACTATTTACTTTTATACTAACTAGCTCTGATATACAACCAGACATAAGGTAGGTAGGTAAGTAGATAGGTTTTAGATTTTGCAAGGTATCAGCTCACTTAGGTCGTAACCGGGTTCACTGTAATATCGCTGAGGATCCTAATTACCCCCCATTACTCAAATCAATGTCTGGACCTTTCAACATTGAGCAAGTTGACTTTTTGCTACCGCAATGTCGTTCAAGTACGCCCAGCCTCTCTGTGCTACTGCCCAACATAAGATGCCCAGTAAGAAGATCGATATTGGTGTATCTTCTTAAGTTTAAAAAGCGATAAGATCTCGTGACCTTCTTTTGTTCCACAAACCACTCTATTATCTAGTATTGAATTATACATATACAAATTGGTTTATATTCGAGGAAACTGCCTTGAAATCTGTCGTGAAATATGCGAAGATTATGCAACAATCCACCTGGTACACGGTGGCTTCCATTCGGACCCCTTTTGTACCCGTACCGCGAACAGGGAGCGTTGTGAAGCCCCATAATGTCAAAGGGAGTAGATCTTAGATGAAATTCAGTTCGTGTGGTTCTCTGCACTTTATGAAATTTAGAGGAGGTGATAATCTCTTCACGGCAATTTTTATATTTGAAATCCAACTTTAAATGGGAGTTAAAAAATCTGAAATGAGTCAGGTGAGTATAATTACATAAAACGGAAGTAAAATAGAAAGAAAATAAAACTGATAAAATAAATATGTTTTGGGAATTGGAAAAACTAACCTTTTCTATCGCAGGAATATTTTCAAGCTCAGTTTGAACCGGCAAAGATCAGGTAAGAAGTTTTGAAAGAAAAATATTCGGTAAATCTGGCAGACAAATTGCAAGCAATGCAAAGTTCAGTAGTTAATGAGCATGAGTGTGCATGTGTGTATGTTTGTATGCTTGTGCTGCTATAGGCTATGCATGGACAATGAAGAAACAACACTTTATGTGATTTTCAATGTAACCTTTATTCAGCTGTGGAAGAGCATAAAGAGAGAAAGGCAGAAAGTGGAAGAGAAAAGAAAACATTTTGCATAGAATTGCGTAATCTGCATTTAATTAAAATAGACACCGAAACAAAACGCAAAGCACAAACACACAGACACTGACTGCCCTCACCGTACTGCTGGCGCATGGGATATTGCTGGCATGTAGGCAGCAATTTAGTTGAGTTTCTGGTGCAAAGAAAGATGCGCCGCTTAGACCTTACTGCTTCTTCTTCTTCTTTTTCTTCTTCTTATTTTTCTTCTTCTTCTTGTTAGCTTGCTCGTTTTGAAATATTCGTTGCACGAATTGGTCGAGAGGAAACTTTACAATTTCCTAATTTGTAAATTCGCAAAATGTTTACTTGCTGACTAGTAAGGGCGCACGTGTGTGTCTGTGGGCGTTAATTTGAATTTCGGATAGAATAAAGAGTCATGAGTGCAATTCTGTCGAAGTGGATGTTTACTAAATATCAAAATGGTATCTTATTTTTTAAATATATCTACATATACGAGCTCGTGTTTACATACTAAGGTATTAATTTGGTACATACATATGTATATATTAATGTGTATGCGTGGGCGGTTGTAGCAAAAGCTTGCAAAAGTTTGCTTGTATTATTTTGTTGGGTGAAATTTTAATTACCTTTAGCCACTGCGTTGCATCGGTGCGCCTGGGCAATGGACCCAAATCGTTTTGGCATGCAAATAAGCTTTAAATGTTTTCAATGAAAATTGTTATATTCGACATGCTAACATATAAACCAATATTTGTACATACATGTACGTCTGTGTGTGCGTGTGTGTGTATGTTAAATCTTCACACATATTTCTATTAATATTTTAACGAATTCAGATAAGCCTTTTGAGACAAGTGTTGCCACATCATTTTGCTTTCAAAATTTCCAGTAGATACGTGTATGTATATGAGCTTGTGTATATTTATTTGGTTGTGTGAAGAACTTTTTGCCTTTCGATAGATGAATTTCGGACAACATTGAAGTATTTAATATTAATTACATTATAAATGCAGATTAATTAAAATGCTAAAATCGATCGGTTCTCTCGTCTGGTTTGTTTAGTTAATTTTGCTAACGACTTGTTGAAGTAGTTAAACCATTTTTGATTGCGGAAAATTTGTTTTTTAAATTAATTATTAATTTAACAATTTGTTTTTAAAAATCACAAAAATGGACGGTTCTTCTTTCTATGAAACCCAAAATATTTTGGATTTCTATGAACTTCTCCAGAAATCGTCTTTTGGGTTGAACAATGCGGAAGGTCACAAGTTTTTGGTGTTGCCTGTGGTCGAGAATGCCGATTATTTCTTTTTTTTTTGTGAAATATTTTTTTTAAGATCTACTTTATATTTCCGAAATTCGAAAAGAATTTAACTTTTATTTGGTTTAACTGTACTAAAAGATTAAGAATTACATATATGTATATTGGGAGACGGGACCATGTGTAGAAGATTACTCAAGTGAGGAAAGTTCACCTGGGAATGGCCAGAAGCTATTTGATTGCATTTGATTCAAGCAGCTCACGACTTCCGGTCCTGAACCAAGCATCTCCAGAGTAACAAACAAATAGCCGTTTGGAGGCGAACTAAAGTAAGCACGCGAGTCTCATACGGCTGCGAGCACGGTTTGGGACCCCCAACTTGAAAAGTAATCTCCCAACGTTCAGAGATTCTAAAGTCGACTTGGATTACCATCTTGTCACGGCGCCCGCTAACAAACACAAGGAAGATTCGACGCCGACAAGCTGCAATCATAACAGAAAGCGGAACGGTTTTCTGCTTGCACTCCTGCTCTCTGAGAAGATACGGCATCGTTTTGAAGTTTCAGGACCAGAGCAAACTACTATAGGATCCAGGGGTGATCTAGTGACGGATGTCCAGAGTATATTGAATTTATGGAGGGAACA